ATTTTATGTTTCATTGTTGGCATTTAGTTTGTGAAATTGTACATTGCATTTACATTTGACTCTTGTGAGCTTTAAGTCATGTTAAAATGTTGTTACCTTCTCAAAATCATACCTGGAGTTGTGTTTTGTTTCATTTAGACATGTTTGAGTAATTATTTTATTATTAATCTGTCTATATCTCCCAAGCTCAAAATGCTCATATCCACCTTGTGATGTCAGGAAGCAGACGTTTTCAAGTTAACAGCTTCTTTTACCTTTAGTTCAGTAGACATTGGCGAGTCCAGAGCTGGAATTATCCAAATGACTCTAGCGAAGGTGTATGGAGTTGAAAAAGACAGTGGTTTTCTGTTTGAGAGAAGAACTCAGCCTAAATATGCAGGGTCTGTGTGTTAAACATGTGTGAATGAAACAAAACACAACTCCAGGTATGTCTGTGATGAGAAACAACATTACACAATATGGGCCCTTAAAGTTTTTAAAAGAAATTTCATGGAAAAGTTGTTGGTTAGATATTCCTGTCCTTGGATGATATCCCAGGATACATAAGGCAACCAGACCAATACTGTAAATATATGTATTTCCATCCAACATTAAAGGTGGGTGATTTGTTTATACAAAACTGGATAGTGTTTTTTTTTTTTTTTTTTAAGCAGACTTATTAGCCTGGTTCAGCAGCCGGTTTCACTTTGTGGAAACTGTCTGACCTCACAGCATTACTATTTGTTGGCTTGATGGTAGGTGGGTACTTTTTTTATTTAGCCAGTCGCTGGTATTTGGTCTAAACGTATGTAATGCACGGTCAATGTTGTCCAAGTAATTGCCGGCTTAACAGATCTTCACTGATTGGCTGGTGCACAGTCTACAACTTCTGGGGTTCTTGCAAATCTTGTGTATTCTGATTCCTGACCTAGTTGCTGGAGAGAAATTAAATTGAGCGGAGGCACTAGGTGGCGCCAGCCTGGCTACAGACTTATTGCCTATTCTGCAAAATACATTTTTGAGCTTTTAACCATGGTAAATGGTAAATGGTCACATTTTAAGGCACGCAAAGACTTCACAACAAGGAACCATTCACACATTCACACAGATTCATACACCTGTGTGGGAGCTAGAATTGCACTGCCAACCTGTGGGTCAGTGGGTCTGACCGCTTTTTTTTTTTTTTTTTTGTCGAGAGCAGGATTCGAGCCACCAATCTTTGGATCAGTGGACAAACACCAAATGAGCTTCTGCCGTCCCCAACCATAGTTTCCCCTCACCATTTACTCACTCAAAGTTGTATGTGGAGTGATTTGTGCATGTTTGAGCAATCTTTAATCGCTTATTTTCAAGACGCTATATTGCCGATCTACCCGTTTTCACCACCCACTGCTCTCTACTTACTTCGTTCACCAATTTTATTTTCTTAATCGGTCATACGCGCTAGATTCAGTCATTTTGGTACAATGCTTGCCAGCATGATGTGCAGTTATCCATAGGAGGTACTGACTCTTTGTTGTGATGACGTTTACGGCTCATTGGGCGCCGCCATTTTCTAGCACTGGAGTCTTTTATTAAGTCATTTTAGACGAATATACGATGTAAAATGTGCAAGGTTAAAATAATGATCCACGGGTGTTAGCAGACACAAGCACAACAGGTCTTCTTTAATGTAGCTATATCGTCAGACACATCCCAACACACTTCTCCAACTGATCAGCCTCCTTTATGACAAGCTGATTTAACTAATCACACTGAGGTATGAACTGTCAGAGGAAGCAGATAAGCTCAGTTCATAATAATCCTGAGAAGTTAGAATTGCTGCTGAACTGTTCACAACTTAACACTTAATAATAAGGAAAATGCATTTATCTTAATGTTCCTGTTCCTGATTTCACATGCATTTGAGCAAAATTTGTCACGGTGAATAAATAGAATGCTCAGAATGCATAAAGCAAGTGAGGAATAACTGCAGACCACTGCAAACCATTTAAAACAAACTACTTCAGCTTTTCACGTTGTTAAGCCAGTCAAATCAGGTATAGCGCCTTTTAATAGTGCTTTCCAGATGCTCTGAGTCACTTTACAGTTTTGTGTATTAAATCACTTTGATAGCCTCCATAATACAGTAGTGCAGCCAAACACTTACACAAAATTTATGATTCTTTACACATGTAGGCAGCCCAACTCTTAGTCTAACTCAATGAGGCCAGAAATGATTACGTCGAGAAGAGAGGGATCCTTACAGCCATAAACTGTATTATTGTTTTCACTCATGGCCGTGCTCTGTGTATGCATAAGCTCATGTTATAGGCGCTCTGTGCAGCTCTCCCTCTGTGTTTCAATGTGGAAAATGGAGGAAAAGTTCTGACACATTTCAAAGGCTAACGCAGCACCGGAGGCTCTGAAAAGTTTGCTGTACGAAGACCCACTCCTGCACGACTCTGCACTCTGACACTGTGAACAAAAGCATTTATACACACCCGCAGGCTGTTGGGGAAAATGTGTTTTTACTCATCTTCTGTAGGCTAATACAGGATTATGTAGGGATTTTATCTTCCAGGGGTGTATGCTCTTTATATATGGTGTTTAGGTAAGGAAGAGTGAAAAATGACGACGCAGCAAGTATAATGTGTTTGCAGTGACCTCTAAAGTGTTTGTATAATGTAATCTGACATGCGCTATCATGTATGGATCTATCATTGTTGCAGTGTTCCTATTTAGCAAGCTAGATATTGTTTTAATAGTAGTGGCAGTAGTACTAGTAGTAGTTGTAGTAGTCAGAATAGACAGTTTTTGTTATCTGTTTTAGTCCTAAAAGTAGCAAGTACTATCGGCTTTCCAGTCAATTCTATTATTATTTTCCCGAAGCACCAATGTTTTATTAGATCTAAAATAAACCAGATTAAATGAAAGAAAGAAACATCTTTTCACAGTAATTCCTTCTACTTCACCCACACAAATTAATTATTATACGTGCTGGAAAATAACACAATGTAATTATTATTGTACAAAATGCTGAAGACCACCAATATAGAGCTAGTTTGGTCTGAAGTACCAACAGGTGATTGAGTGTATAGACGTAATATTTTGTGATCGGACAGGTTTGTTTTGGCTAGTGTCAATCTCTCTCAATGAAGCTCTTTGGCCGATCATTCTCTGCGATGAGGCAGGAATGTGGAAAACTTGCTGGATTTCCTGTGCTCAACTTGAGTGCTGGAAAAGTAGATTTATGGAGATGAATGATTATATTATTGAATCATAGTGACGGAAAGAACTTGAATAGTGGCTTTATGATTTTTTAGCTAAACTTCAGCTTGCGACTGATTATTTATGCAGGGGTCATAAAAACTTGGCCTAAATTCAAACTAGAAAACTGTATACTTTGTTCCGAAATGTTGTAACCTGAGCTTTCACTGTCTTCTTTCCTCATTCTTAATTTAAAGTGCCTATGACAGGTCAGACTACCCATTTTACTAAAACACAGTTAAGACCGCCACACACTACAAGAGAATTTGCCTGAATTTGACTGTGATTTATTTTCCCAGAGTTTGGGGAGGCGTAACCCAACTTTGTGTCTTCGTGTGTGATTTTGAAGCTGCTGCATTCCTTGTGTGTGTTTGGGTCAGTGTGACTCTGAGGTGCTTTGTCAGATCGTAATCACTAAATATAAGCAATGCTACAGTAACAGCCAATAAAACAGAGCATCAGGGGCAGACGGAGTGACGGACACAAAAGTGCAACATACAAACTTGGGAAATAGTGAAAATAATGAGAAGACTTTATTGCTCACTTCTCGTAAAGTGGTAAATTTAAAGTGCAGCATCTCAGCCACATTATCCATAGAAATTGTCCTTCACAGCACACAGATCGAGATGAAGCTGCAAATTAGCAATAGTGACACTACTTTCTGCCAATCTTTCATGCTTTAATAATCATGCTTCTGAAGAATTGCACCACATTTCACAAATAATAATAACACAGTTTTGACTTGTGTCTGAACTAGAAGTGTGGTGCTCTGATCTTTTGGACACTTAAGAGTCTCAAAACGAGTCATTTTACTGTAGACAGGAAACAGCTGATATGATCGCACTCACAACTTTATACCCTGTGGTACACAGTCTTATCCCGCTGCAGTCTTTGCGATCGAGACTTTAAGTCTCATAAGATTCTCCTCGTGTCTATGGTGTGCGCTTTTTGTCGCACGTTTAAAAACGGTTTAAGATTGAAAAATCCTGTAGTGTGTGGCGACCTTTAAAGTCATTACATTTAAGATTTTACTACACATTTTTCTTTTTTTTCCCCTAGTTTGCCCATTTTTATAGGTTTAAAATTTGGAAATCATGACATCCTGGTTGGAAATCATGACATCACACTAGGAAATTCCATAACATCTACCTAGCAACAATGATGTACACTGGGGCCAAAACTCCTGAACTAAAAACAAAACTAAAAATGTAAAAAAATTAGGGAAAAAAGTGTTTCTTGTATAAATTGAGCAATTTTTTTTTCCTTTTTTATAAAACTCTCCCAGTGTGATCATCATCTTTATAGAACTTAAAAAAAAAAAGACTCCTACTTCCTGTAATTATTATTATTTTTTTTACATTTCTCAACTTTTCTTCACAAATTGTATCTTGATTTGTGTAAAATTATAATTTATATTTACAACAAGTATTATCACACCAAATTAAGTCAAAATTAGGGAATCATCAGAACTGTCTTACACATTTAAAGCTGTGTTGTGTGTTTTCCACCACAGCAGCAGAACTACCAGCCACCACAGTCTCTCTATCTTCTCCTCTGTCATTGTTTATTTCTCAGGAGTACACACTTCACATTACCTTTCCATCATTATTTCCCTTCACTAAACTATTCATTACACCTCTCTGATTTGTTTGTGTGTGTTTTAATTCTCTCTTTAGGATACTTTGTTGTGATTAAATGATTTGCATTATAATAAATACTTCATACTGCACTGTACTGCATTCTGAGTGACCATTACTTTTTTGTATTCACAGGTAGCACTCATGAAGAACATCACTTCAATCCCAGAGCCATTCCTTTACACAAGACACGTTCACTTCCTCAACTTTACCAGGTATAAGATTTATATTCTCACGTATTCTAAAAATGGTGTACTGTTATGTGTTTACTGGAATTCGTTTGTTTGTTTTGCAGTTTTAAAATAGAGCAACCAGTTTACTTCAATATAATAAGAGACCCAATCAACCGCTTCCTGTCAAACTACTTCTTCAGAAGGTTTGGGGATTTCAGAGGTGAGCAGTTCCACCTCCTACGAACTCCCAACATGAAGGATGAGGAGAGATACTTGGTAAGAAACTATACAAAAAAAAACCAATAACTACAAATCTGGAACCATTTTTACCATAGTGATGAAACTGAATAGTAGTAGTAGTAGTAACAGTAGCAGTGGCAATTTTATTTATTTATTTTCTAATTTTATTCTAGCAGGAGACACTACCCAAATACATAACTTTTACTTTAATGTGGGTGAAGTTTGAAGTAACCGTACTGATTTAAATTAGACCACTTGGTAACACTTTATAATACTTCTTCCACTACTAAGCAAGCACAAAAAGATTACGTAATAGATTTTTATTTAAACTGCAATTTAACCCTAACCATAATGATGTGACATAACTGCTAGAAGAATTACTGTAGATTAGCATACTAAGCATAAAAGCTCCTCTCCACCCATTGGCGATGCATAAAACACAAAAACACATGGATGAGGGCTTGTTAAGTTGCTTCACATAAACACATTGTATGAATAGAAACAAGACCTAGGGTAATGTGCACATTCTCACAGGACTATTATGTCACCACTTGCTTTAAGCTTTGTGTTTATGGACACTTCATTCGTCAACTACCCGTGAATTGATACTGGAAAATTCCCATAGCAGCATTATCACTGCCACTTAGGGCCTATTGAACAGCTTTATTCAGGCTATGAGAATGGTCAGCTCCACTACAACAATTTTGCTATTTTCTCAATAAATCATAATGTTTTCTGATCACCTTACTCAACTTAGCACTTCAGTATTAACACAATAGAAAAACACATTATTAATATTCCAGTTTAAAGGTACATTATCTAACTTTTTTGATGGAGGGTCTGTGAAAAGCTTGTCGCCATGGAGATGTTATTGCTTTGTATGCAATGTTTCACAGTATGGCATCATTAAACCTTTCTATCATCACTGAGACCAAACCAGGCCAAGCTACAGGTCAGATCTGTAGGGAGGCAACCCCGCTCACACTCAGAAGTCCTGTTTTTCTAGGTATTTTTGAGCTATAAAACCATCTGAAATTGAATAAATGTAAGGTAGAGTTGTTTAATGTCACACTATGGAACTTTCCAGGCAGAGCAATGACATATTCATATAGCAACAAGCAGGTGACAGACTCCCAACCAAAAAGTTACGTAGTGCATGGCAGTAGTTTGTCCACTGATCCAAATGTTGGTGGTTTGAATCCCACTCTTGACACAAAATGTAGTTGGTTGAGCGTTCAGATCCACTCACCCATAGGTTGGAGGTATGATTCCAGCTCCCACAGATGAATGCTCTTGTTGTGTCCTTGGACTAGACACTTAACCCACCTCGCCCTTAGTGTCTGGATGCACTGGTGTATGAGTGTGTGTGAATGGGTGAGTGGTTTCTTGTTGTAAAGTGCCTTGAAGGTGGAAAACTGCTATATAAAAATTTGACCAATTACCATTTTAAAATGTAACATTAAATTAATAAAAGTAGCAAAAACAGTAATAAGGAAAATAACGTGTTCTTTTCCCCTAGGACTAAAAATGTATTTAAACATTCCTCAACTTGCCACAAATTAAAGAGGCCCTAAGGTCGAGCCATGGGGAACCCCTTAAATGCACTATACGTCTAACTTGATACTAATCATTTTAATTGGAGCTTTGAGTCATCCTTCGTTCATACCCTCAATCAAACCCACTGTATTTTGATCCAATTAGCCTTGCCCTGATCCTGGCCTATAGTGCACTTTAAACTAGGCCATACCAGGAGGCCAGCAGGAGGAGCCTATGTCACTCTGCCTTGAGCCTGACTGGCTGTAATTAAGCATTGCACAGTTCTCCCTGGAGTCTGGAGCATGTGAGTTGAGTTAATAAAGTATGCAGACCACTGAGGCCCCTCGCTGCACTTACAGAGTATGTCTGTGTGTATATATGGACTGACTAATGCTGTACCTGTGCGCTTATACAGTCAGAGGTGGAAAGTAACAAGATACTTTTATTCAAGAAGTTAAAGGAGTTTGACTTGACATGTGTTTGGAAATATGTTTTATTATTCTTTCACGCTTATTCAAGTTTCAGAATCTCAATTATTTTAGTCGTAGCAGCAACAAGTACTGATCATTTGTATATCTTGCAGTTTTCCTCATAGATTTCGTTCAGACTGTAGTGATACAAATGTTTTCTATTTTAATAATTTTCTTATTACCTGTATTTCACACTTAAACATTCTTTTTGAAGGGTATAGTTACTTTTTGTGTTAATAACGATATAATGAACAACAAAGTGAAATTCTTCTTAGACTACGGGGGAGGCCCCATAGTCTGTTCTGTTAATGGGAAACACTGATCTTGTCCAGATTACACTTTATTGATTGGACATATAGCCAAATTGGAGAGGAGAGTGGAAAGACATCTGAGCCTTTTCCATTCACGTAATATTCCAAATAAGGAGCAGTACTTTAACTTGTGTACACAGTTTGAGTACTCCTTTTCATAGGGTAAGTTAGTACCCAAAAAGGTGAGAAGGTTCTGACATAATTAGGCCAGTGGGACCCAGACAGATAAACACAGAGTAATTAGATTTCAAAGTGAAAGTCAGTTAGTGTTACTTCCTAAAGTCAGTCCTAATGGGGGTCACATGTTGAGTTTTGTGTCCACAGTGTATCAGTTTCACAGGGGAGCGCTCGAGGGAGTTGGGGTCCAGGCTAAATAAATCCTAAATGCCTGGAGCACATTAACTGGACCTGCCCTACTGCCACTATACTGTACTGTATGCCCTCTGTGTGTGTGTGTGAGGTGTGAATGAAAGAACAGTGACCAGAGTGGAACCTGCTCTATGAGGGCCATACATTCCTGAGGCACTTGAACACCTTCCGTCAGAACTCAAAATAAGATCTCCGGTTCACTCTATATGGTCCATCTGATTTCAGGGGGCGTATGATGACCCTGGGACAACATGTGTATGATGGGACTAACTAGAAGAATATTCCGAAAAGCAACAATGGGAAGTCAGTTTACCTCACGGTACATACTGTACATAATTTCCATGTATCGATATCATAGTCTGTATATATAAATGGCTAAATTGCGAGCCCAGGGGTGGGCAATTATTTTTTCCATGAGGCCACATGAGAAACAGAAAATATTGTGGAGGGCCGGGCTAAAATGCTTAACTCAACTTGTCATAAATGAATTGTATTTCTTTATAAAAAGCAGTAAATAGCATTGTGTTGACAAGCTCATAAGACTTCTAAGAGTTTATGTTATGACTAAGCGATGAAAAAGTGAGGTTGCCTTACAAAAATTTTATTTAAAAAACACTTCTAAAATAAATCAGGCATCTTAGATCCATGCATGATGTAAAATTATAAAATATGTTTATTTTGTAATTCCAAATGATCTTAAATGGGCTGGTCAGAGTCAACCAAAGGGTCAGGAGCTGTACAATGCCCAGGTCTGCACTAGCCGCAGTGTTCCAAATAAGAAGTGGGGGAACTTCCGGCTCCATCAACTCTGGCTCCAATTGACTTTACAATGAAAAACTGTCACCTGCCTCATCATTTTGGTCTTAAAATGTTCGTATTAACCCTCTCTCTACATGATCCTGGTGTTTTTATTTTGCTATTTTGTTCATAAATTAATTCCTAATATGGAACTTGGCTCCAACGTTGCCCCATAACTTGCTAGCTTCGTGAGCTTCATTTGACTGGAGCCGAACACTATGGGTGATGTAACTCTCCCTTAGTCCATTTGTTTATACTGTCTATGATCGCTACAAGCATACTTTATGTTATTAGAGTTTTGCATACAGTAGGTGAGCTGTGAGTGTATCATATGTACTGGATACATCTCATTCACCATTACCTAAATTAGTAGATCAACTTGTCGATGCCCAGGTCTGGTTAGTACTTGTATGGGAGACCGCTGGGCTTGTCAGGTGCCACAGTGGGTCATCAGTGGCTCTAGTGGAAACTGTGTGCAAGACACTTCATCCACATTGCCTAGTATGAATGTTGTGTGCATGAGAGTTGGTGGTGGTCGGAGGAGCTCATGGTGCAGATTGGCAGCCTCTCTTCTGTCATTTTAACAGTGCAGCTGTTTGCAGTACGGAGCAAATAAATAATGACATGTAAAGGATTTTGCGTTTCTTGAGAGGCACTAACTATAGTGTATAAATCCAGTGTATTACTGTTATCACTATTACTAAAGGTTATTCTGATGTCATGATGTGGTAGTTTTCAAGTTAATAGCTCCTTTTACCTTTTGTTGAGTAGAGATTGGCAATTCCTGGGCTGAAATTTTCCAAATGATTCTAGAGGTGTATAAAGTTTAAAAACACAGTGGTGCACATGACATCACAAGGTGGAACAGAGTTTTCTGCTTGAGAGAAGAATTCATCTTAAATATACAGGGTTTGTGTGTTAAACATGTATGAAAACAAAACTCAACTCCACGTTTATGATGAGGAAATAACATGTAACGTAGATCAGAAAATAGTGTAATTATGGCCCCTTTAAATCCATTATATATATTCTATTCATGCCCATTTTTCTTATTTTATTTTTCCAATTGATTACTTTAAATTACGTCAATACATGGGCATGGCATCACATTAAACACACAGTATATGAAGGAACACGAAGACATAAATCCTCTTTGAAATCCTGTATGTGTTCTAATAAAGTTGATTTGGCTAGACTGATCTCCTCAGGCGTAAGAACAGACCATCCCATACCAGGAAAAAACCCTCCTCTACAACTGTGTGCTTATATAATCCCCTGATATACTCATGAAAGTACATGTTACTTTCCAATTATAAGAGCCAGTACTGCACTCCAAGTTCCCACACTGCTTTCTAATGCTCTTAAAGGTGAGATCTGGGCCTGTCTGACATTCACACACTGAGACATCATAAAGAGGAGTTGGCTGGTACTAGTCAAGTTTAAACTTGTCGTGTCATTTTAAACATTATCCATCCTGAAGGTTCGCCTCAGGTTTAACAACACTATTCACTCATCATCAGTTCAGCAAATGCCGTTTTAAGGACACATTTGTTGTTTCATTACGGACATTTGTGCATGTCTTTCTTGTATGCTCGAGACAGTGCTGCTCAAATTGTGATATGGGGGATCTTGAATCTTCTAATACGCGCCTCTAAAGTGTGGCTTTTGCTGTTTCAGATCTGAAGCCAGTTTTTCACATTATAAAAAACTGATTTTCTACATTTTAATGTTCTGGTTTAGATCTGGTTTAGATCTGGTTAGGGTTTGCCCTGGTTTGATGCAAGTTCAAGCCGTGTTTCCTGACTAGGATTAGTACCCTGAAAATCAATTGGCCTTCCTTATCAAGTCCTGGTCTAGTCCAGGTTTAGTTCTGAATTTAGTCCCAATGATGATATGGTGCGTGTACAAGTATATCTTTCTATAGTCCTGGGGTATTCCTTCTATTTTTACATCTACTTTGTTGTTTAATTAGCCTTATTTTAATTCATTATTATTATCATCATTATTGTGGGTGTTAATGTTTGGCGTGAAAAGTTGACAGTCACTGCACAAACCTGTTTGAAAAGTAGCTGGTATTTGACCTAGGTGTACCACTCCCACGCTCTCCTTATGCAGCCGTTAAAATAGTCTTGTGGAATCATCAGTTGCACTAATTTAATTCCTGGTGGAGTCTATTCAGTGTGTTTAAGATTAGGCTCTTTTTCTGCCACTTTGAAAGCTCCATTGGTATAATCCACTGTGAGTTTACGAACAATGTGAGCGAGTGTGCGTGCTGGGGCTCTGTAATATGCTAATGCTGTGGCTGAAGAGTGCGTTTTGTGCACCGGGTGATTGTGTGGATTGCGTGGTGGCACTGTTCCCAGGGGTCCCGTAAATGTCGGCACACAAGGGCACTCTGCATTGTCCCACAGGAGAGACTTTTGGAGAGAGTCCATGTTGGTGAGGGAGTAGGGTCGCAGGTGTCACTTCCTGGTACAATGAATGATTTTTTTCATTCAGTATATGTACATTGTTGGTTTTGTTTTCAGTGACATGTAAAGTTTTGCAGCATTGTGAGATAGGGCCACTTATGAATGAAGTCATGAGCAGAGCAGTCCTACTTTGAGCTTTGGAACTGAATATTAAGTTGCCCTGGACCTAGACAAGCTCACATTGGACAAGCTCACATTGGAGACCATGGTTTTCCTCATAATTCCAAAAGTATCGTCGTTTGCAATACTTCACTATTTTGGATACCATGTATTCTTTTATTATGCTCAAATTTAACTTGCTTGGAATATTTACAAAAGGTATTTAAAATGCTGTGGGTATTAAACAGCAATGTTTTCCCAGGGCCTAGAGCAGTACAAAGGTGCTCTGTTTTGGGCTGAAGGTACCTCCGGGTTTTGTTGTGTTTCTTTGAAAAGCTGTGCTTTGGTTTGCTTCACTGATTGCCAAAAAGACATTCTTCAGCCACACACAGGAGCACTTTAGTGAGACAGACAGCAAATATAAAGTTTAATTGTATAATTGTGCTACAGCATTCTGCCACAGGCGCAGAGAGCAGACTGAGCGTTTGTGTCTTCTTTATTTATGGCTGTGTGCTGTGATTTATCTAGGACGCAAGAAATATGATAAGAATCTATGTCTGCAGCACAAAACAATTCAAGTAGAATCAATAGAAAACATTCAATGATTCCCATAGTTATTGAGTTAACTAAAAGAACAATTTCCATAATTTCAATTTAAGGCATTAGCAACTTTTTTGTAAGTCTAAGTCAGTCTGGTGTCTTTGTGAACACACACAATGATGTGTCAGTGGTACATGAATGAGACAAGTGTCACCGCTCAATATCCTGACAGCGGATATTGCACTTAAGTTGAATGGCAAAAGCATTACTTCATGTTAGAGTTAAACTCAGGGTTTCAAAGGTCACTAAGAAACTATTGGATGTAAGCACATGTAATACTTGTGCATGTTTGTATGTACATCTTACAAAATGCAGACAAAATGTTTTTTATGAAGCAAAGATAACTGTGTATTGTCAAACACAAAAAAAGTATTTAAATAAACACATGCATTTATGCCTTGTATATTTTTAAAACTAATGAACATATACATAGTCTTGCTCTGGGCATTCTGTAACATAAACTATAATCCACATATAGAGAGCGAGGAAAAGCAAATATATTAAAACAGCACTTACAATCACAATTACTTATATTTTGTGAAAAGTCATATTAAATAGAATGTTCTTTGTTGAATATTTAGTATTGCCTAGATGACCTTCCTTGAACACACCATATAGGCTCAGTGAAGTGCTCTCTTGTTTAGCCTCTTGTGCTGTGTCCTCCAAGAGCATCTACAAAAGCACTTCATCTCTGTCACAGTCCAACAGTCCATGTGGGCCCCTGTGATGGTGACAAATGGCACTGTTTAATGCAGACTTTATCATACCATATATCTCCTGCGTATATAAATGTCTAATGCCTCATGCTTTCCTCTTTATCTCAGTGTTTATACTGCACATATGCTACTGTGGTGTTGTTCTGGTTGCTCTGGACCTGTTGCTGTATTTAGAGCTTACGTCAGCTGACATGGATTTGGATGTAGATTCCACAGTTCTCAGTGTTTGGCTCGCTCTACTCCTCTGTGTGTTTTTAATCATTCACTGTTTCATTATTAAGCTGCTGCTCCCAGGCTGTCCTCAAAGTACAATGTAAGATCAGTGTAGTAAAATACGCAGTTATAATCACTTCATAGTATCAAGTATGGGTCAATTTTAAGTCAAATTGGGGTTAAAAAATACTCCAACTGCTTAAGTGTAATCTAGTTGCAGCAAGTCTTTTTTGCTACTTATTTTTTGTATTGCTAAAAATATTTTTAATTCTACTACTGTTACTGCAAACATCACTACTTCAATTTCTGCATATTTCAGAACAAACCATGTACATATATTTCTTGTAAACACACTGGCGGTGACAAATCCTTGCGAAGAGCTCCCTCTAGTGGCAAAATACACAATTACAAATGACTGGTTTTAACAGTTCCTTTTGTTTCAGGACATCAACGTGTGTATTCTAGAGAATTACCCAGAATGCTCCAATCCCAGGATATTTTACATTATTCCCTATTTTTGTGGACAGCATCCAAAGTGCAGGTAAGTTGAGGGAACATTTTGCCTCTAATGTTTAAGTGGTGCATGATTTATAATGTACTTTTCTGATCCAGGGAGCCGGGTGTGTGGGCTTTGGAAAGGGCCAAACAGAACGTCATTGAGAACTACCTTCTTGTTGGGATTTTGGAGGAGCTGGAAGATGTTCTGCTCCTTTTAGAGCGACTTTTACCACAATACTTCTCAGGGGCCGTCGATATCTACAAGGGTCCTGGTAGGATTTCATTTAATTACATTTACTCCTTCTTCTTTAAAGAACCTGGTGATCAGTTCAGTACAAGACACAAACCTAATCGCTGATGTGTGCCTCTTACCTATAGAAACAAATTCTAACAGATTATAGTGGCAAGTACTAATGATGGTTAGACCTTGTAGAACACTTTATATAATGAAGCAGTGGTATAGCATTCACCCAAAGGTTCAAGCTCCAGCCAGAGGCCTAGTGCCTGATATTGGATTTATATTATTTTTGTTTTGTTTTGTTTTGTAGTGAGATAATTATCAGAAATGTCCAGGTCCATTAAAACATTTACATTACTCCTTGTTATCAGCATGAAAATATAAAATAATGTCAAATGGTTGCATGGTTGGTCACAGCATGGTCTCTGTTCTTTCTGTGCAGACTATATGAAGATGGGCAAATTGACGAGCACAGTTCGTAAATACACCCCAACTCTGGAGGCTCTGCAGGTTCTGTATCACCGCATGAGCTATGAGTACGAGTTCTACAACTTCATCCGGGACCAGTTTCACCTCCTGAAGAGGAAGATCGGGCTCAAGTCTGAGGCTAGGCCTCCAGCCTACTCTCCGGAATTCCTGCATGAGCTGGCCATACGCACACCAGAGCCTCTGGATGAGGATGAGGAGCTGGACAATGCCTTAGAGGACGCTAACAGCTGGCCCATCCAGATGTGAGACGTCATGCCCTCATATCAGGAACATGCGTTTGCTACAAAAAAGGACTTGTCTCTTTGAGCACATTTGACTCTTTTGACAAGACTCACCTCTTTTATCTAAAAACAGATGGACAAAATTGTGGCACTCATGTGGAACTTGGCTGGCATCTGGTCCAGCTCAGAAATCTCCAGGAGAGATAAGAATCACTGTGTGACAGGAGAGGAACTATGGACAGATAACTGGAATACCTGCTGTGGATGAGAGTCTAAATCCACTGTGTAACATCTTTTCACTTGTTTTGGTATCTTAAAATAATAATAGGTACAAATGAGGGTTATCAAAAAGCACTCACTTATGAATTCAGAGAATTCAAACCATGTGTGTACGTATGTGTGTGTGAAACATGGCTATACTAGCTGTTTGTTTTTTATTCTTGGCATATTAAATACAGCATAAGACATTAAGTTAATGTTAATCCAAAGCTTCAAATAACAAGAAAGTTGCCAAATACAAACCAACAGTAAATATTCTTACACAACGCACAACACATTTGTAGGACATGCTTGGAAAACTTGGAAGATACAAATAATAATAATCACATATAATATAATATATGATGAAGCTGGAGATCTGGAGAAACACCATTTTTCCATCGGCATTTAAAACCATAAGCTAAGAGACTTTTACCTGTACATTGTTACTGTTTTGCCACATGTCTATGCCATTTAATTTATTATTTTGTATTCACATTCCACAGAAGATTCTCAGGAAGAAACATAATAGTTGAATAATGACAAATGTTGGTGATGATGGCTACAGTATGACAAAGTATTAGTGACATACAAATATAAACAGTCCTCTCAACAATTTTAAAATAAATGTCATCTATTTTTCTGCTTTACAGTTGGTTGTTTCTGTTCTCCTTAAGGTATACTGTCTCCAGCATTGAACTGTTTTTGATTATGTGGTGTCAGCTTATTATACAACACCGCCCTCTTGTGGTGATAATATAAACTTACCCACTTTCTAACGCTATTCATGGTATGACCTATAGTCTGAGCCAGTTTGCTCTTTTTTTTGTTGGATCATGAAAACTAAGCAGGGCTGGGCCTGGTTATTACTGTGATGGCAGATGCCTGTGAATACCAGGTGTTGTTTTACAAAAAACACATGGCATTTACACTTGTTTGTGTAAATAAACACCTTTACTTAAAAACTACAGGCTACAGTATTTACCAGTATGAAATACAGTTGTAATACTGTAATATTTATATGATAAGTTCATCTCATTTGGATAAATCTTTCAGGTGTTAATTTACTTGGAGGTCCATTCTGGCATACACTTGCCAACACCTGATCCATGCACCAGATCTGTTGGTAATTAACACAAAAATCATTCAGTCCCTTTATGTCCACAAACAGATAACCAAGTAACCTGGGTGAACTTTCAGTTCACCAAATAGTCTGGTAATCTGCATATTATAATGGTCACAAACAATGTAAAAATTTACCATTACTGAGGTTTTAAAATAAATTAACACAGAGTCACAGGAAAACATGCAAAAGACCAACATGCCACTTTTCCCTCCAAATTTGAACAAAGAGGGTTTGTTCTGGAGCTGGGTGGTGCTGTGGGGGCAGTGGGTTACCTCCTCTCCACCAGCAAATAGAAAGCTTTAAGCCCTCAGCCAGCATGTCATTCCATAGTGACAACTCTATTATTTATACTTACTGCAAGGCACTACCAACCTCATTAGTCATAGATCATAGAAAATAAAAATAAAAACACATTATTACTCAAGCAGTGCTACTTCAAAATGAAAAAAAATATTAGTAATAGTGTCAATGTCGACAGACAAACAGCCTTTTATTTCAAGAAAGACATAAAAATGAACTAAACATCAATGTTTATCCTTCAGATAAAAATATAATCTGTCAGAGACCTGAGTACAATGCTTTCATTTATTTATACGGTATGCCCAGTGAGAGCAAACCAATTCCAAATGTTTGATCATAGCCTTTGGTCCAAGAGTCTATGAATTATTTCACATGTTCACAAAGAGCAGTACCTCTTTACTGCCAGCATTATAAAAATGGACATTCAAAAAGCAGAATAATATAATATAAGATAACTGGTGTCTTAATGGTAAGGCACAAGGAAGGATTCTAAAATGACAAAGTATCAGTGATGCGGTCTATAGAGTAATGCTAGGTTTGTTCCAAAAAAACAGCAATGTTGTATTGACTGGATGTTTGTTATCTAGTTATGATGACTAACTTCATTCTAACAACACAATATTTCATTAAATACAATAATTGCAATATAAATTAATATTTAATTTGTCTTATATCATTTGGTGGGACCATAGACTGTAAATATACTCCTATATACAGTCTATGGGTGGGACCCATATTCTTGATAATAATATTGAAAGGATTTACACCTTAAAAGCTTTTTTGCTGTTGGTCTCACATAAATAAACTGAAAGAACCAGTTCTACACAAAAACCTCTTAATGAGCATCAGCACCAGGCCAAAGCAGAGATGTTCAGAGGGTCACAGTTCAGACAGTGTTATCACGTGGGTTCATCTCCATCTTCTCCTCCGCATGTTTACAGTCCTGAGGAGCAATCCTCTTTTTGGGCTCCAGTCCCAGAGCTTCAGCTTCTTCTAAGGTGGAGGTCAGGGGTTTTCCAAGTGTTTCCGGCAACATAAAGGTTAACACTCCAATAATGAAAGCAAGAATCCCAACAATTAACTGTAATAGAGAAGATAAGAAGTAATTCCCAGCATCCTCAATAAATGATGTATAAATGAGCAGTACATGGTTACATCATGTGTACCTGTGGTAGATAGATCCATACATCAGACAGATACACACAGAAGGGAGCCACTACACTACCCACGCGGCACATCATACTGCCACTGCCTACAGCCAGAGACCTGCAAAACACACAGACAGTTATGACAGTGCCATCAGTAACAAGTAGACCTGGGACCAGTTTTCCCAGGTGTCCTTATGAATTGTCTCAAATTTATGGTCAAGTTTCTCCAATGAGCATCATATCAACATGTTATTGATGCTTTGCAGTGGTATCACGCTGGGGGTGTTCTACATCTATGTGTATTGGCAGATTGTTTACCAGTTACCATGGAGACACAATGCACACATTAGCAAACACAGTCAAATAACCTTTAAGATCGCCCAAAAACTCATGAAGAAAATACAAAATGGATTTAAACAGAACATTTTCTTCTCTTCATGGTTATATTATGCTAAAGCAGAGAACAGATTAAAGTCTAATTTGAGTAACAGCTTCAAACAGAACAGTGCTTCCAGTTAGCAACACACCCCCAGGAAATGAACATAACATCAGCTGCAAAGTATCAGTAGATTCACTTTTTACCTGATGATGGTGGGGTACAACTCACAGGTGTACAGGTAGATGAGACCAAAGGCGATCGCAATAGAAAACTTTCCAATCATACTCAAAGCAATAGTCAGAGCATGGATGTTCTGTAGAGAGCAGAAATATGTTATAGATTTCACCAGCAATAGATAATAAAATGTAAACAAATATATCCAAGTGTCTCAACTCGGACACCAGGAAATGCTGTGTTATCTTAGAGAAACAGATGTGTGCGCATAAATTTATAAAAATGGGTGTAACAATATTGATGCTGTGTAAGGAGTGTGTTTTTTCAAGGACAAAATAGTACTAATAGTACCCATTTAAAATATCATTGTTATTGAATTGTCTAGCATTATAATTGTGGCTTTAATTATTCATTCAAACTACTCTAATTGCAGAAATGTTACTCCAAGACTCTCTTGTGCTTTGAATGTTATTGAATTTGAATTTGCTCTCTGGCATGTTTGCAAATCTGCCATGTTTAGGTTGACTAGGGGAAGTTACATAAATGCTGGTATGTGGCACGGTTCCTGCAGTGGAGTGAGCTTTAGAGTTAGTCTTAAAGTTGCCACAGCCTCAAACAAGTCAAACAAAGAGCACGCAAAAAGACTGTCCATGGTCATTATTGATTAGAAAACCTTTGAGGTCAGAGGTCACATTGACTTTCAGATAAGGACTTGAGTCAATTCCAAATTAGCCATAAACAAATGAGTGTTGCTGACAAATTCCACATATGTCCCTTGGGCACTGGATACGTACAGCAGGTACCACAATGATGAGTATGCACGCAACGGAGCCCAGGAGCAGAGCAGGGGCGCAAGTCCTCTTCCTCCCAATCCGGTCCATAGCAAAACAGCCAATCAGATAAGAGGGAAGCTCCACTAGACCTGCAACAGCAAATCACAGCAGGAGATGGTGGTCAGAAGACATTCAACACCATGATATTTAATCTGGACCAATTCTGAAATAACTCAAAGCTTCCTCGACAGCAGCTCTCTCTCTCTCTATGCAAGTCTCTAATGCTATTGTGAGTTACATAATAATTGGATAATCATATTTGTTTTATGAAAGACTAGGTACAGTTGTTATATTAATACTTTACAATGTGTAGTAAGTAGTTTCACTGCAATAAGGTCAAATTAAAATTGTAATTAAAGCCGCAAGCGGTATCAAACGACCCTCACAGGGCGCGCTTCACTTTCTGCCGACCTGCCACTCCCTCTGGATGGTGCTGATGTGCCACTAGTTTCTGTGTAATTGTAGCTTTGGGCTGTACTTGTCACTAAACACACAAAGTCAGCACACATTGGAGTTGTTGATTTGCTAACATAGATAAACATGGGCACTTTGGGACATCGCCATGGCAACACCGAGCAAAATACGACTTTGGCCCCCCCAGACTTTTTTGATCAGGATGACCTGAAGAGTGACGGTGCCAAATTTCACATTCTTCAATTAAACTAATAAATGAATGAAAATGTTGAAATTTTGCCATTAGGATAACATGAGTGCTTTTGTGCATCGCCATATGGTATATGTGTATATATGAAATATACCATATGGTTGTCATTGACGTTTTTGATTGGGATGACACAAAGAGACATTGTGCTAAATTTCACATGATTAAATGAAAGTAATATTTTTCTCATTAATTTGAAATTCTGAGTTAACTCCCATTAGAATAGCATTGGAGCTTTCGCACATCACCATGGCAACAGTTAAAATGACAACATGGTTTTCTTTAATGGACTTTTTTGTTTGGGATGACAAAATTTAATTTTGTGTAAAATTTGGTAACATTTCAGGAAACCGAAATCTCCATACAAATGTATTTGTTATTCTGTAGGAGGCACTATCACGCCAAATTCATTTTTTTCACAATAAGTAGGTTTTGGCAAGAAAGTTTTACAGCTGATTCAAATTCAGATTTGATTTTCCAACATCAAAATTTGCTCCCGTTCGCCTTCTTTTTTTATTCCCATGCATTCAACATATATCTTATCAAATTTTTCATCACTTCTGAATTTTGGGCAAAATTTTCTGAGTTTTTGAACATGTTTAGGGGGTCAAATTAGCACTCAAAAAGCAGAAGAAAAAAATTAAAATAAATAAATAAACTAATAAAATAATAATAATTTGAGCAAAAACAATATATCTGATATATCTGTTATCATGTGAACAGCATATTATACGCCCATTGACTCAGTGTTGACCTTTACATGTTAGCAATAACCCACGGCTTCGGCAGGGGTTGCTGAGATACTGTTGTTGCAGAGGTTGACCGAAGGACAAAGTTGAGCCCATACACTCATCGTTTCAAAAGCAATAGGCCCTATGCCCTGTAGGGGCTCGAGCCTAATTATCAAAACTCTGTTGGGACATTGTGGATTCTCGAAGCACTTCACATCAATTCAGCCCAACAGGTGGTATGACAGATGCAGCAAACCTTGACCAACTTGACCAATGAGATCATCCTTTTCAGTGTGATGTATCACCAACGCGTCAATGCATATTAACAAGTATGATTGATTGGTACTAATAATATGGAGAGAAATCTCCAGTAATACCAGAAAGACCAGTCAGAGATCCTCTGAGATCATCTCTAGATGCCATATTAAGTGAGACCTACTTACCAACAAGGAACAGGTTCACATACTGGTTCCCCCCGAGAGTGACGGAGCCCAGAGAGAAGACATAGTAGCCCAGACTGCCAATGAACCAGATGGCCCACACGGTGCAGGTACGTCCTGCCATCCTCCAGCTGCCAAACAGGTCCAGGATGGAGAGCTTCTTTTCACTTTGAGCTGCTGACTGAGCCTCTTTCTGCGGCAGACCAGGGCCATTCTTCTCCAGCTCCATCAGCTCCTCTGCTCTCAGTCTGCACTCCATCCCATTCACTCGGGCTATGTTGTCCAGCAGGCTCTGGGCCTCGCTGTATCGGCCCTTAGCCAGGAGATAGAATGGAGTCTCAGGGAACTTCCAGCAGAAGAGCAGGAAGGGTGCTGTGCAGGTGGAAAGAATGATCTGGTAGATCCACCACACTCGCACACAGTACCCGGTCAGAGCCACCACCATGACGCCCACTGCAAAGGCTGCATGTACGTGCATGGAGGTCCAGGTGCGCACCTTACTGCCAGTGAACTCTGTCACATAGACAAAAACCACCACCAAGTATCCACTGGACACCTGCAGAACAACAGACAAGCACACACATAACTATGATAACACAAAATGTAAACTGAAATTTAATGAAAATATCATCAAAAACATAAGGTATACTGTTATACTGTGTGTAGAGTGGCTTAAACACATGATATGTTTCATTACTAGAAATCTACTACTACTACAACCTAAAATCACAGTGGTAAACATAAGGCAGTAATCTGACACCCCAAGTGGGCTAAGGAGCCGTCAGCGCGGGGTTCAGCCTGCAATATCTCAGGCTCTGGCTCTATGTGAAAACAACAGCTGTAGCAGAGACCTGGGGGATGGGGCAACGGACAAAGAGTCAAGAGCAATGTACAGAAACAAGGAAACCCACTCTGTAGACGATTAGATCTGTTACACTCATGACTTTGTGCCATAAGATTTTTAAAAAATATGTAAATATCTTCTTTTAATGTAACAAAATAAGGGAGAGAACAAACACGTTTAAAAAGTTTAAGCAGTTAAACCTGTTCTCATGCTCAGGAGTTTATTCACAAATAATGTGTACACTGACAGTATGGATACTCACCATTGCAAGAAGGAAACGAAGCACCACAAATACATAGTAATTTGTAGAAAAAGCAACAGCTACTCCAAACCCAAACTGGCAGAGGCTGGTGAGCATCATAACCTTTACACGGCCCACCCTGAAAACATAAACAAAAATATGAAGATTATCTAAAGGTAAGTATTAACATGCATAAGAAGATCACTGCAGGAACAGTTACACCTTCAAGAAATCATGGGTGAATATGCAGGTTCTGACTGGACAAAGGACAATGGCTCATTATTTGAACAATCAAAAAATTGGTCCCAGCTTGGATCAGTGCATAGTGTCATAGCGTCCTTGGGCAAGACACTTCATCGACATTGCCTTTGCAGGCACAGATCGTCTCATTTCCGTCAGTCTACAGTCATCATGATCAAGACTACCAGAAGAACCTATGGCATGCCGCTTCCCATTGTAATCTGGCCTCCTAAATGTTGCCTGTGCTATGTGTGCCTCATTCAAAACATGCTTTTTCCGTTCTTTGTTCCCTTCATAAAGAAAGGACTCTTGAGAGCTCAGTGGAGCTTCAGTGATGTATGGCTTACAGAGCTTGTACTTCAACTTTCTATTTATTAGTTTGGAACAGTAGTCCTACATATTAATTAACATGAAACACATGCTGCAGGCAAAAGAACATTGTAACCATGGAGTAAATTCTCTACATTATCATTGTCACAAAACACATATTCAAACATCCGCATTAGAGGCATTTTAGGCAAGGCAGATGTAAGACATAATGAGCTATTCATCAGTCAGAGCCAGAATTTAACCACAAACCATTGTGCTACTACAGAGTCACTACCGTCTAACTTAGGTAAAATCTAAAAATACAGCAAATATCTAATTTCTCGGCCCATGCTGTGGGAGACAAGAGCCTCCTTATATGGAGCCTTCAGACCATGTGTCCAGTGTGTCAAGCAAGTACAATTTACACCCCCCGCTGTTAAGTACAGTGGGGACTCAATCCCGTCTGTACCTCATCACTCAGAGTCTGCTCACCTGTCAGCGATGTCTCCAAACACCAGGGCACCGATCAGGACTCCCAGCATGAAGGTGGGCTGACATAGTTTGGCCAACCATTCCCCCTCACACACCAGGTCCCAATCTGTCACTATACTGCTCTGAATTTCACTGTGGTCGTAAACAAAACCATCACAGGTTTGCTTGCTCTTGTTGCCATAGAATTCATAGGTAAAATCAGTTGGGTTGATCCGAAGAGCACACTCGCATCTGCTCAGCTCCCACTGCTCTCCCTGGTCCGTCCTCACCACCAGCGCCTTCTTCCCATTTTTAAATTCAGGCAGGATCTCTTGAATGCTAGATGCTGTTATGTTGCCGTAGAGGATGTCAGTGATGTTGTCAGGTATGATAGACACAAAGTTTGGTGTCTCCACCAGGAATACAGAGGCCAGGTAGTGGATTCCACAGGCAGTAGCTTGGAAGACAGCAGCAAAGTAGAGACAAGCCTGAAATCTGAAGAATATAAACAGTAAGACTGTGACTGTAATAGACAGAGAATAGAGTTATGATGCATAAATGTATGTAATTAACCACTTTGTTATTTTATTAGGATACAACTTATTAATGGTCTGAATGTATCTCTGATCTCTGTTGTTTCTTCATCAAAAACAGACCTGGAGTTGTGTTTTGTTTCATGTCCATATGTCTAACGCACAAATCCTAGATATTTAAACCATGCTCTTCTCTCAAAGAGAAAACAATCCACTGTGATTTTAAATTCTACACACCTTCACAAGAATCATTTGGATAATTTCAGCCCTGGAATTGTCAATCTCTACTGAACTAAAGGTAAACGGTAGGTGTTAACTTGAAAATTACTCAGTGGCATCACAAGGTAGAACATTTTGGGTATGCAGACAAACTAATATAAAAGGATTACTCAAACATGTGTGAATGAAACAAAGTGCAACTGCAGATATCTTTTTGTGAAGGTAACGGCGTGAGGTCTAAAACATGATTAGAAGCTCATAAGAGTCAATTTTGTGCAATCTGGGATCCTTAACATTATTTATTAAGTGTATTCAGCATGTTTATTCATTACAAAATAAAGGGTTATTAGTTTTGCCTTAAGCACTTGTTTTTGCAATAAAACACCATTCAAAAGTCCCCTTGTGTTATAATCCATCGAGAGTGAGAGGCTATGGTAGTATTAATAGTCGGTAATAAATTTGATGCCAGTTTCAGACATATCCCATGCAATATCCAAAGATAGGACTCGCACAAGGATAACCTACTGCCCCGCTTCCATGTGGCTGGATTTAGAAAATATTAAAAGTCGGTGTGATAAAAGAAGTAGCCTGTGCTTAGAACTGAGTTTCATTTAGTTTTGTGTAGTTTCTGGCTACTTTTGTTTAGTTTAGTTCTCCTTTTGCTCAGAATACAACGTATGCTTTGTGTGCATTTCCAGGTTAGCCGGGGAAAATAGGACTATAGGCAACTACTTACACAAACATGAAGAGAAACGCAACTTCCACGAGATAGCGGTTCAGCGTTGGGTCAGGGAAAGGCGCATGGAAACTATAGCACAATTTAAAACAGGCTGTAAAATCGATACCTTTTAAAATGCCCGAGCTCATCAAATATCCTCTCGACCGTCATGTTCAAACAGTGGCGAGGTTCCTGTAAAGGTTCCCGCTGATCGTGAGTCCCCAAAGGGCAGAGGAACCGCGGAGGCGCAGCTGGAGGAGCGGACCAAGGCGCGATCACGTGGCTCCACACAGAGACGCGCACACAGCAGCAGAAAGACCAGGACCAGACGGACTTTTAGAGTTCACTAAAAAACTAAACCTCCACCCCATATTTCCTCAGAGGCGTGATCTTAGCGTGGTTCAAGCCTGTCAGACAAATTAGTACCCAGGGCTAAATAAATAAAGACTACCTACATGATTAGGCCTAATCATTTTTATTAAAGGAGAAATAGTATGTAAAATAAGCTTTTCGCGTACTCAGAGAAGTTTGATTGTAATCATGCATGTTAAAGTAATCTTGAATTGTCCTGCCTTTGATTTAGAGCTCAGGCAATTTGTGCCATCACCAACCCCCATCTCCTCAGTCTAAATACATACAGTAACAAAAAACAAAACAAAACAAACAAACAAAAAAACAGTATGCCTTTTTAAACCAGACAATAACAGTTAATGCGAGCTTTCAAACATGATCCTAAAATGCCCCTTTTTTAAGTAATATAAATTTATTACGACTATATCATCTCATAAGAGCATCATAATATTCAGAAGTCCTATAGTCTGTTAACATTTATGCAACTAAAATTATGTTCCACACAAAAAAGCCTTTACATCCAAAATGTCCATAAGACAGAAACCCCATTATATAAATGCAATGTTTTCCAAGAGGAGTCATTTTGAGAGGTGTGTGCGGGACTTGTGGTAGTGTTTACTTATCTGCACCTTGCTTGAGCTGGACTCAGCAGGTCTCTCACTACAAACTAAGCTCTGTTTGCTTTGCAAGCTTTGGCCACCATCTGCTCGCTTTCCTCTAATGGGAAGCTATTAGACACTTTGCCTTCGAGACTCCATGTGCATTGGCATATTAAACAAGTCATCATATCAATATCATTAAAACTTACCAATTTACACAGTGTTGTTCATGTTAAGTTTTTTTTCTTTTTTTTCTTACTAACAGCTTATTGTCAATATTTGATGTCCAAACTCAAAGTGCACTCATGCTATTACTGGGATTGTGCCATTGTTATAACTGCCCTTTCATGTAACTGTGTAAAGTTAGTCAAAAGATTATTATTCTGTAGTGTATGAGTCAAGTAACCTTCGTACCTCAAATACTCAAAGTAGTCCTATGTTTAGAAAGTGTACTCAGAAGACCCCTTTCTGGTATCATGTAATCATCATATCTTATTACTGCTTTTAGTTACAGTAATTCCAACAAGTTAAATTTGTCCAAAACATGCTGTATTTAGCAGGGCTCCGGTGACCTCTGGCCTGTAAACCATGTTCAGAAGTTGTTTTTTTATAGTCATACTCACAAATTCGCCTTTTGTCACCTCTCTGTAGTTGGACTTTTCTTTATGTGAGAATGTCATTATTGTAGTTAGCTCTTTTATGATTCTGCTCTTGAATGTGTGTGTGTGTGTGTGTGTGTGTAGTACACAAATGGCCACCATCCACGTGACCCTCACCTGTTTCTGTCACACTGCAAATTCCCACTGGTCCAGATATTGATAACACTAAGTTCAATATTTGGATTGACCTATTTAAATCCAGTTCAGTCCTGTCATAACAAATATACCGACACAACAAAGGGACATTGTGTAACTTACTACTTTGTACTTTCTTAATAAACTTCATTCACTACAAATATACAGTTATTGCAGCATTGCACGATATCAGAAATAATGGTTATTGCAAAATTATTTGTAGACAATAGATGACAGCATGGTTTTTATTGAGAAATGGTAAATTAAAGGTGCACTATGCAACTTTTCTGGTGGTGATCCAACACTGGTTTATCTCCATAGAGATTTTATTGATTTGCCTTGAAAGTAAGAAAGTAAGTTTATTTTATTTACATAGAGCTTTTCACAGACATTTGTCACAAAGACACTTTACAGAGCATTATTCATTCACTCCATACCCAGCGGTGGTAAGCTAATATTGTAACCACAGCTGTCCTGAAGCAGACTGACTGAAGCAAGGCTGCCAATCAGCACCATCTGTCCCTCTGACCACCACCATCACTCACACACGAAACTTTCATGCTAGGAATTGTGGGTGAAATGCCTTGCCTAAGGACACAATGACAGTTTTTTGTGACCTGCACCCCACTGTGGCACCTGATTTTCCCAATGGTCTCCCATTCAAGTACTACCCAGGCCAGACCCTGCTTAGCTTCTGAGATCTGATGGGATCAGATTTTGACAAGCTGGTATAGCCACGAAGTTAATGCACAGCATACTTTGAATGTGTTGAATGTGTTTTTATTGCAAAACAAATACCTTGAGAAACATTAATTCTTATTGTGAGTGGGGTCACCTCTCCACTGATCTCTTATTTGGTCTGGTGGCCTCCCTGTCTTGTCTCCATGGTTCTGCATCTATATTTAAAAAAACAAACAAACTCAAGTCTCAGATCTCATAAGACAAAACATATACAGCACACAGAAGACTGAAACCATTAGCACCATCATAAACATGGTAAAACAAAATCCTAAAATACATTCATCAGGGAGCATCTAAGTTATAGAAACTATCCACATGAATCACTATTGCCATCACCAGGAACACTGATCTATTTCACTGATATGAGGCCTCTTCATGACCGGCTGTTGAACTATGACCCTGTGTGCTTTGTGCACACCTGAGCAGATCAAAGCTTCCTGTGTCACATTTTCACATTATTAATAGAAACATCAGTAATTACAATTACATACTCTACAGCAACTACTAACTTGCTATTTCTTCTAATTGTATTGCTGCTTAGTAATATCACTCCAAGTATTTGTTACTTTGGGAATGTAACAAGTGATGAAATACTCGTACATCACTGGAAACCAGAGAACACATATTTTGTATAAATGTATCTACTACTTTCTGCTGCAGCATAAAATTTGAAAATCTGTGTATCATTGTATCAACATGCTCTATGTGATCTACAAACCACATTCTCCACTCTCAGCCTCATTGTTTCCATTCCCAGATGAATTAAATTATCCTCGCCTCATTCAGTCCATATGCAGATGCTTACAGATTTAACTCTCCACAAGATGGCGCTACACACACGTCCATGTGCGTCTGAAAACCCCCTGATAATGAACAAATACACATAATATTCCTAGGTGCCAACAATCACAATGTTATTAAGTCAGTATAGAGTGACGCCATAGCATAAGTACTTTGCAAACTGAATGTGACTCTACACTTTACTCTTTGTGGAAAGTTGTTTTTGTCCTCTAGAGGGCGGTAGAGGACTGTGTTAGAGAGAAAGCGCAAATGATTCACAGATGTGTTCAGGAAGTGCACGAAAATCTGCATTATTTTCTTAGATTCGTGATAAATAGACAGGTTTAAGATGCAAATTTAGTAGTCCTACAATTTTTTTTATTATACAAACGAACCAAAGATAATAACTATTAACTAATAACTACTAATTTTAATTCTGAACAGTGAATAGGGTGACCACGTGTCTTATTTAGAGAGAATGTCCAAGTTTTGTTGTCCGTAATGGCATATAAATGATAAAAAGTGAAGAAAAAAACCTTAGAAAACATATAGGCCTATTTATAGCAAAGCCTATATAATATTGGGACTTTTGGGGTATTTGATTTGTAGTGTGTCATCATTCATAGTTAGGACCTATTGCTGTTCCCATCTGTGCGTTGCGTGCGTGGATAAAAACGGAAAAATGATGTGGTGTTACATTGCAATCATTATCTATAAATCTGACAGAAATACATGCACCCAAAGGAGAACAAAGCACAATTTAGTCTTACTTCCAAAAGTGATTAAGGCCCTCATATGTTGTCCATTGAGCTGAACAAGTATAGACCAATACGGACCTGCATTACCTTCTCGTGCAGCTCCCGTCCCGCCCAAGGATAGAGTTTCAGAGTAACTCGAGAGTCATCGGGGCGGAGGAAGAGTGTCCCGGAGGAACATAGCGGTGCCTGTGTATGTGATGTGCGCCGATAAAAAAGAACAAAAAAAGAAAGGGGCGTGTGTGTTTGGGGAACTTGAGCGCGTGAGGAGGGAGTTGCTGAAGTTTTCAAAGAGGGTGGCACGTATTGTACTCACTAAACTGTTTGCACACAATCTGGGATGCATGCTGACACGTGGTTGGGTTTATCACTGGAGCTGTTCTTGACTTTAATCACTTTAGAACTGAAAATAATGGGTTAGAAAAGAGCGCAGAAACTTGGAGTTGACTTGATCTTTAAAGAATGTGTTTGTGAAGCGCGGACACCTTTTGGATGGACATGGGCATGCAGAGGCTTCTAACCCGGGGCCCACTGCTGCTGCTGCGTGTGGTGATAGCGCTCAGTGCGTTGGGGTTGTGCGTGCACGTTTACCTAGAGATGAACTGGAGGGATCCCACTGTAACGAAGGAGGAAAGCACCACTCAGTCCAACAGAAGCAGAACCAAAGACGAGTCTGCAGAGGCCACAGAGGACAGGAGTGTGAAGAGGAGAATATCCTACGTGAGGACGCTTAAGAAGGAGGCTAAAACTACAGATGTGCACTCAGCTTTCCTCCATCGTAGAAAGGTAGGATCTCTGCTGTTAAAGGTGCACTGTGTGACTTTTCTGGAGGGCACGCCACCTGTTTGTCTCTATAAAAGATGCTATTCCTTTGCCTGGAATGTCCCACAGTACCATTAAAGCGCTTACAGGTGTTTTTATTGCTTACAAACCACCTAGAACTCGCACATTTGTACTGTGAGTCTTCTCTCCAGAGATCAGACCGATAACTTGGCCTCGTGAGGTCACTTGCTCTTTTCCACAGAGAAAGATACGTTAAATGTCACCTTGTGAAACTTTCCTGGCAAAGCAGTAACATCTCCATGGAGACAAGCAATGAAGTGCCCTCTCCTCCACCATAAAAGTCATATAGTACACCTTTAAAATGTAGCTCAGACATAACAGCCTGTAGGGCATTCCCCTGGATATCTCTGCCTAAAGCCTTGTAATCCCTGGGCCGTGGTGACGGAGGAACAGCACAGCAATATCAATGAACACTTTGAAACTGGAGAAGAGAATTTGTAGAATTTGTTTTAGTAAAACAATACATTGCAAACAATAACAGTTAAAGGTGCACTATGTAACTTTTAGTGATGGGTACACGGCTTCTTGTCTCCAAGGAGATGTTCTTGCTTTGCCTGGTGCTTTTATTGATCAAATTATACGGCAAACATGCAAGCATTCCTACACTGAGTGGGGCTGCCTCTCCACAGATATGACCTATAACTTGGCCTGCGAACACCATCTGCTTGTCTCCACAGAGAAAAGGAACTTACATAGTGCATCTTTAGAAAGGTGTGAATTCAAAGATTTGATTTATTCAGTTTGGTGCTGGTTATAAATTATTTTTACAGTTTTAATTGTTTTCAGAATTTCAAGAACTTTAAGATATTGTAACGAGACAAATGTACTAAGTTAATATCCTGAATTCAAGTGTTTTAACGGGTGCAGGTCTTCTGTTTTCACCATACCACACTGCACCACACAAAGTGAACACCAGCTTCATGGCTAGCTGCAAATGTGCAACAAAGGACTTTTCAAAAGTCTATGAGAGCAAACACTGCTATTCATAACGGCTCACATACACACAGGTTTGAAGGTTTGACCTTTGACCTGTTAAGGGTGTGTTTAAGAATCGGCTTAACTAAACTCCCACTGCCCCTGAGTGCACCTTCTCCTCTTTGTGTAACGCTGGTGCTTTGATTTAGACGCAAGATCTCACATCCATCTTTTACTTTTGTTTTCTTAACAGCAGCTTCCTCGAAAAGATTGACTAACATGAGTTTGTTCTAGAGATCAACCGTTAAGGATGGTCAAAAGTTGAGAAGATATTTATATATTTTTAGACCGAGTTGTAGGGCTGATTTAGATTGTTTTCCCAAAATTATGTTACTTAAATTTACAACTCACCCACAGAATCTTTTTCCCTACAAACCTATAAGAGAGCTGTGCAGTCACATTTTTACAGTTGTCTCGTCTCACTAAAGTGTTAAAATAAAGCTTTATGTTTACTTTTTTGTTTACTTTTTGTTCATAGCAAAAAATGCGTTCTGTAAGTGCTTCGCCAATGATCTGAGCTATAACATGGTCTAGAGACACCTATTTGTTTCAATAAACATAGATAGGTTTAATACTGTACTGTACATACACATTCTATGGAAAATAACTGAGAAAAATTACATAGTATACCTTTTCAAACAAAACTATATCCCAGCTAATTGTTGTCTTCCTCGTTATTTTCCTTTTGGTCATTCCCATTGCTATGCCTCTCCATGTCTGCTGTGGTAAATCTTTAATGGTTTAGACTGTGCTGGGGTTGAGAGCAGATTTTTAAATGCTCTGAGAATCACTGCGGGGCAATTGTACCACACTGAGACATTGGCCACTTTGCTCAGCATTAATATTACATCCCACCATATGCTCCTCTCTTTCTGGGCTTCTGAACACTAAATTTGTCACATAAGGAACCTTGGGGGGCCCCTGACAGAAACTATGTCATATGCTGGTGCCATTTAGCTCTTGTGCAGTGTGCTTGTTTTTCCCTTAGGCTCTCATCATGGAGATCACTGCAGCTCTGTCATGTTTCATCTTACTGTTCTACTTACTGTGCCTTTCTTAATTTTAAACTTCGAGGCTACTCCTCCTTTCACTTGTGTGTGTTTTTTTTTTTTTTTTTGTCTCTGGGGAAGCTGCTCGTGGCTGGCCATACACTGACTCCACACATATTCATGGGCTGCAGGGGAAAGGCAGTAATGGGCTGCTGTATTGCTGTGCTGGGAGGAAGGAGCGTGTCAGGGGCGCACACTGTGACCTTGGTAAATAACTGTATGGAGACTTGCCATTGTGGGAAAGGCTATTCTTAACATGGGATTTTAATGGTGGATATGGCAAAAACGGGCATATGCTGTCCATTTCCAACACAATCAGCTCCTCAAAACAGTCAAGTGATATTTTATTTTAGCTTGAGTTATGTGGCAGAGTGGTTAATAGGGGTATAACGATATCCAAGCCTCACGATACGATATTGTCAAGGTATGAACCTCACGGTGTGATATTTATTGCGATGTTTTGTGGAGGCTAACAAAACTGTTAATATACTACTTTTTCCTCTAAAAATGCCTTGACAAGACTTAATCCAAAGAACTAAGACTTAAATGAGCTTAGAACTGTTATTTATTCATGTCTACACTGAAATAGAGCAAAGGATCATGGTCTATGTAGTTCCCTCTGTCAGCTCTTTCTGCACCATAACTCTTAATTTAAGCAGAGACTTACAATTCGATATATTGTGATGGTCCACGATATTATTGTGAGAACTTTGACGATACGATATCACAATATTTCAGTTATTGTTACATCCCTAGTGTTTAACATCTGGTAAACATGTAAAGAAGTGTTGGCTTTTAACTCACTCTTTGTGTCCTGTTGAAAATGTGCGCAGTGTTGCTTTTAAAGTGCTCTTTAAAGTTAAGTTGAGAAATGCAAGATGCATAGTTACAGGTTTGTAAATTTGATGGCCACTTGCCTTTCTTATGTGTTACGGGTAAGGAGGCTGTTTCTGCTCCAATACCGATGTCGATACTTTGGCTTTAAGTATGTGCTGATACCCGATACCAATTGATACTAAAGCAGAGACTGAAAATATAATTTATTTCCTTTAAGCACAAACAGCCTATGGTATAAACAATGATGAAATGTGTTTTGTAACTGTTATTTATTTATAGTGTTTATTTATAGTGTTTATTTATAGTAATTACAGAACAGCTTTGTAAAATCCAAGTTTAATCTAATAATAAGAGGTTTTGGGCCAACACTGCTCAGTAAATAGTTTTCAGAGATGAGATATTGTTTAATCTGATATCCACCAAACACTTCAATATGGATTCCAATATTCAGCTATGGGGTAGACTTGAAGTTGGATAAACTGTATCACCTGTATTTTATCAGTTATATTATATATAGTTATAGTTATATTACAGTTGCAGTTATACAGTTGTGTGTGTGGTGTATTATTTTATTTGCCGTAACAATTCCTTTTACTCAATTTTATGGGTCATTATTTAAAGTCTTATTGCACAAGGGATCATTTTCAGTAGCTGTCCATAGGGTGCTTTTAAAGGGATTTTGTCCAGAAAGGAATGTTAAAAGATCCACACAAAACAAGACAGTTACATAAGACAGAAGCAAGCCACATTACAAACGTGAGCAAACGTGAGCAGCTCTGGCCTGACTACAAACCAGTCTTTAGTTATCTTGTGTTGATAACATGCTGAAGTCTAGGTATTGCTTTGTTGTTTGGGCATCTGGGCTAACAGCCTTTTTGGCATGATCAGACTTCGCTGCTGTTTGTCGGTCTTCACTGCAGCAGATTGTGGAGATGCCTTTGACATAAACTTTAATCTGTTTATGAGCAGCTGCGCATGTGAAAACACTGGGACATTTTCTTCATCTCCAGTTCACAAATATTTGTTTGAGGGATGGAACGTCGCCAAATGGAAAAGATCTATTTTTCTCATTTAAGCATCTGCTGTTATCCGTGTGTGACAAATGGAGCTGCTTATAATGTTTAACGCACTGAAAAACCCACTCACTTCTGTCAGATGTACGACTGCTCGTGCACACTTGAAAACAGCCTCTTATGATTTTGAGGCTTTGGGGAAATGCACAAGTGACTGTTTGCCAGGGTAACCAGACCAAATTCTCTGCAAGTACATTTTTTCTTGTCCAGACAATAACAAATACAAAAACTAGAAAAAAAAAGTATTATGGTAGAAGAAGAATTAGCATTTTTAAGGTTATTTCATTGTGACTTTTTAATGATTGTGGGTTAAAGTCTAGATTTAAATGATTCACTTCAGGGATGTAACGATATCTAAATCTCGCGGTACGATATTATCACGATATGCATCTCATGCTACGATATTTATTGCGATATTTTGGAGAGGCTCATATAATTGTAGATAGGACACTTTTTTGCTTTTAAAATACCCTGACAAGATTTTGGTGTGAATTATTACCGTCATAATCCTAAAAATTCAAGTAAAAACATATCTCTTCATGTTGTCTGCACTGAAATGAATCATGGCATATGTAGTTCCCGATGTTTAATAGCTATTGCTATCATAAAACCATGCATTGAAGCAAAGGATTTTGTAATCTGATATATTGTGATATTGTGACAGTATTATTGTGAAACTTTTGACGTTGCAATATCATGATATTTTGGTTATTGTTACATCCATATTGACTGTATCAAGTTAAAGTGCAAATGGCAGGTTAGACTACTGATTTCACAAAAACATAGTTAACATTATTACATTCAAGATTTCACAAAAATCTTGCTTTTTTTTGTGGTGAAGTTTATAATTTGACTTTCTGGTTTGGACACGGATAGCAGGTATGATATACATAGAGATACTTCCATAACTGTTACCTAGCAACTATAATGTTAATGAGGGCCAAAACTTGTCTAAATTGCACAATAGTTATGATTAGACTGAGACAAATAGATGAAATAGATTATTTTG